GGGTTTCGACTCACACACACTGGCACATCAGGCATGGCAATAAGTGTCCGGGCTTTTCGGGTTCAGGAGATCTCGTTGACAGCCTTTTTGTTTCTGCCCAGGTTTCCCTAAACCCTAAACCCTAAACCCTAAACCCTAAACCCTAAGGGTTTCAGCACTTAGGGCTTCGGCTGAACTAATCTTTGGGGACTCAAACGCGCGAGGCGTAGACTCGGGAAAGATTGCCTTGACTGACCAGGAGAGCCCAATACCCCCTTGAATAAAGGGTTTGGGGTTTAGGGTTTAGGAATATACCTTAAATTATAGGGGCCTTAAAGGGATCTATAAGGGTTTAGGGTTCAGGGTTTAGGAACATAACTTAAATTATAGGGGCCTTCATATAATGATTTAAGGTATATTCCTTCATTAGGGGATATTGAGCCCAAATTATAGGGGCCGTAATATAATGATTTAAGGTATATTCCTTCATTACGGGATATTGAGCCCAAATTATAGGGGCCGTAATATAATGATTTAAGGTATATTCCTTCATTAGGGGATATTGAGCCCAAATTATAGGGGCCTTAATATAATAATTCCTTGGTATATTCCTTCATTAGGGGGGTATTGAGCCCAAATTATAGGGGCCTTCATATAATGATTTAAGGGTATATTCCTTCATTAGGGGATATTGAGCCCAAATTATAGGGGCCGTAATATAATGATTTAAGGTATATTCCTTCATTACGGGATATTGAGCCCAAATTATAGGGGCCGTAATATAATAATTCCTTGGTATATTCCTTCATTAGGGGGGTATTGAGCCCAAATTATAGGGGTCTTAATATAATGATTTAAGGGTATATTCCTTCATTAGGGGATATTGAGCCCAAATTATAGGGGCCGTAATATAATAATTCCTTGGTATATTCCTTCAATAGGGGATATTGAGCCCAAACAAATTATAGGGGCCTTCATATAATGATTTAAGGGTATATTCCTTCATTAGGGGATATTGAGCCCAAATTATAGGGGCCTTAATATAATAATTCCTTGGTATATTCCTTCATTAGGGGGGTATTGAGCCCAAATTATAGGGGTCTTAATATAATGATTTAAGGGTATATTCCTTCATTAGGGGAGATTGAGCCCAAATTATAGGGGCCTTAATATAATGATTTAAGGTATATTCCTTCATTAGGGGATATTGAGCCCAAATTATAGGGGCCTTAATATAATGATTTAAGGTATATTCCTTCATTAGGGGGGTTTTGAGCCCAAATTATAGGGGTCTTAATATAATGATTTAAGGGTATATTCCTTCATTAGGGGGTATTGGGCTCTCTGGGGAGCCCTTCGAACATTTCCCGGGGCTGAGGAACTGGCAAGACTCCAACCCAAAACCCTCATGAATCCGAGACACGCTACTTTTGCACGAGGCCTAAACCCTAAACCCCAAGAGCCCTAAAACCCAAAAAGCCCTAAAACTCCTAAAAACCCTAAAACCCCTAAGAACCCTACCCTCTTAAATTTAACCTCTTAAACCCCGCTTGACCCCAAGCCTTCGCCCTGAAACCCTAGACCCCCTGTGTTCGAATCTGGAGCTCACTTATGTGCAAGTATGCGCAGAATCTCCAACTCTTAATTCATATAGGGGCCTGACTAATTACCAATACGATTTTGGGGGTTCTTTATTGCCACTATAGTATAATATACCCCAACACCTTTTTCTAATTATTAAGGCTCCTACATTATTCTCTAGACCCCAAGCAAGCCCTGAACTGTCCCAAACTCTACATCATAAAGACCTTTGTAAAAGAAGAGGCCTCGCGGATTCCTCCTGTGGGGCGTCGCACGTCAGCCGCGTCCCGAGGCGAATGGCGCCCTCACCCGGTTCAGGGATAGTTGGGATTCAGGCGGGTTACAGGAAGAAAGGTTTTAGGAACCCTCAATCCTCACCCTTCTGCAGCTGCCCTAAACCCTAGTTAGGATGGTGTAGCGTTTGGGGGGGTCGGGTTTTGCCTCCTCTCACGATCGGACGCGTTCGTCGAAGTCTCGGGGTTGGGTTCAAACCTTGACTGAAGCATTTCCGAACGTGACAAAGCTCATGCATTAGTTGAAGCCTCATTCTGGCGCTAATGCAGGGGCCTTAATAATTAGAATAGGGTTTTGAGGTATATTGTACTATAATTATAATCAGGAGCCCCCGAAATAGTATAGGTATAGTTATCAAGGCCCCTATCTTAATGCTGAAGGGCTGAGAGTCTAAGGAAAGCCTGGCTAAGCCGCTGGCTTCGGGTTTGGACCCTCGCAACCCCGCGAGCTAGGTGAAACGACAGGGCTTCTAGGCATTGCGGTGGCGCCTAGTAGCGACCAGTTCAGTATGTAGGCCAATCAACAGGAGCACCAGGCTACTCAACCCCACTCGCAGAAGGCACTGGGTTCCATCCGCAGCCCTTCGTCTTAGGGTTGCGACGCTTACAACTTGGAGGACCGTCTGTGGATTGCGTAAGGCCTGGGGTCGAGCGATGACGGGTGAGGTTGGGTTTAAGGTTTAAAATGGTATGTGCAGGATAGTCTGAGATCAGGACCATGACCATTGCCACCGCAGCCGCTGCAGCTGCGATCACCTGGCATTGTGCTAGAAGCACTCTTTGCATCCAGCCTGCCTTGCATCTGCGCTAAACACGAAAACCATGAACCACTTTCTTGAGAAGGGGCTGCGGTGAACATGCAGTCGTGCCCAGCCTGCTGCGCTCCACATCCAGACTTCAGGCACAGCCCTTTACATGTATCGATTTAAAACCTCACAATCGCGGACTTAATCTTGAAAATCTGGACGCCTAAAGCCTCGCACGGGAACCTCAAAAGCCCAAACCCTCAAAACCTGTAAATCCTAGAACACTACAACACTTAGCATGCGTCTTTGAACCCTGAATATCAAAGACCCCAAAACCCTCAGCCCTAAAACCTAAACCCCAAGCACCCGAGGCCGCCGAAATACTACACTTTTAGGGTTTAGGGTTTGGGGTTTCGGGCTTCTGCAGAAGCCTAGGTATTTGCCAATAGTACTCCTTAGGGTTCCTTGTTGTGGCTTTACTAGAATATACCCCCAAACCCTATTCGAATCATACAGGCCCCTATATGAGGCAGACCCCTGGTTTGGAATGCAATTTTTGTGTGAGTAGTCCTACTACACGGTTTAGGTTTAGGGTTTAGGGTTTAGGGCTTAGTGTTTAGGGTTTAGGGCTTTGGGCTTAAGGCTTGGGGTGTAGGGTTTAAGGCTTTGGGCTAGGATGCACGACACACCGAATCTGTAAAGTATATTTATAATAAGGAACCCAAGGAATTGTATTTTGAATGATTTAGGCTTCTGCCGCAAGATAGAAGCAAGAGTAAGTTAGTAGGAATATCCCGTAGAGCCGTCGAGCTCCTTTTTGCAATGATGGTATAATATGGGTAGTTCTCTACAGAAAGGTCCGTCCCTTTTAAGGTCCTTGTTATCAGGGTGCCGTAGTATATTGGGGACCTAGAAGGGGACCCTAATTTAGAGAACTACCCCTATACCCTGACCCCAGTCCAACCTAAACCCTAAACCCTAAACCCTATATCCTAAACCCTAAACCCTAAACCAGTAAAGGAACCCTGGGATTAGTCTAGGAAAGACTTGCAGGTCGATCGAGATCCTTCGATCTTTTGGGAAGCTGCACCCGAGGTCCGAAACCCGAAAAGCCCCAATAACCCTTAACCCTGAACCCCTTCTTTAAATAACCTGTACTGAGGCACCCTAAACCCTACCCCAAACCCCCTGAACCCTGAACCCTAAACCCCTTCACCCCCAAACTCAAAATAAAAACCCTGAACCCTAAACAGGCCCTAGACCCTGAGCCCGAAACCCTTAAACCCCTATAAATAATCCCCAAACCCCTTTCCACCTGGACTTGATGGATGCCAACACCCCACCGTAAACCCTACCACCAAATCGCAAACCCTAAATCCTCAACCCCTACACCCTAAAATTAAACCCCCTACACCCTAAACCCGTTACGCCCTAAACCCTAAACCGTTTAGGGTTTCGACTCTCTTTGCTAAGGGCTCGCTCCAGCTCTGGCAAGACGTGGCCGCAGGACCAAGATGCGGTTGCTCATGGCCTGAGGGGGGGGGGGGTGGCCAAAAGAGGAGAAAGAAGAAGCAGGTTTAATGGGGTTTGGGTTTTAAGGTTCAGGGTTTAGGGTTTAGGGTGTAGGGTTTAGGGGTTTAAGGTTTAGAGGTTTCAGCACTCATAAAACTTGGTACACTTCTCGATTTGTGCACGTCATCCTTGGGCCGGGGCCATGCTAATCTGTATCGTTCCAACTTTATCGAATGATCCCCGAAGAAAATCCTCCGGGGTTTAAGGACTTAGGGCTCAGGGCTTCGAGTCTACTTGAAGGATCATGGGACTTAGTAAGTACGGTTATAAGTACCCTAATTGGGGTTATAAATATAGTTACCTTATTTATAACCCTAGCTACTAAGTCCCATGATCCTCCAAGTAGGGGCGTTGGGACCGCGCAGCCGCGCCTCGAAATGAGGCGCCTTCGATATTCGGGACCCCACATAGACCCAGACAGCCTAATACCCCTTATATAAATAATGAATATACCTTAAACTATAGGGGCCTTAATATTTTTTGATTTTAAGGTACATTCCTTAATTAAGGGGTATTGGGCTCTCTGGGGAGAAGCTAATTAGCTGCTTTTTTGCCTCCTATAGTAGCAAGGACGAGCCCGCATTGCAGGGTAATGCTACTAGCTTTTAGGGCGGTTTAGGGTTTAAGGCTTGGGCCAAAAGTTAATCATCTAGATAAACCCCTTTTGCTACTGGACCCCAGTAAATAAACCCTTTTTGAACGAGGTCTCGCTGAAGAAAACAAATCCCAAACCCTTAACCCTAAATTGGCTTTTGGGGGCATATTGTTGGTATACTCATACTGAAGAACCAAAACAAGAGAAAGATATAATCTTGGCAAATATTCACCGCTATATTACTGAGAGGCGCACGCTGGCGAATTTCGGCACGGTCCCAAAGACAGGGACATCTGCATCGTTCCTGCACATCAAAGGCCCCGCTCTGAGGAAAGTTTAGGATTATACGGTTTGGGCGGTTTGGTGGCTTCAAGTCCGAAACTTTGAAGACGCTGCAGCTTCCGAATGTCTTCGGGGTTTAGGGCAAATGAGCCCCAAACCCTTCGGGCACCTCTTCATATAGCTGGCAGCGTCACAGGTCATGCTGCCCCCGATGTAGTCTGGACCCATGTCCTGCGGGGAGCAGGCAAAGCCTACCTTGCTTCTCTCCCGAAGGCCACGCGAAAAAGGAGTGGGCTTGTTTGCTTTGCATGAATGCCGCCGAGTCCAACGTCTAGGCGGGCTCAACTCAATGGGCCAAGACAAGCTTACTTCGACCTAGGGCTTAGGGCTTTGAGTCCTGGGTTTAGGCTTCTAAATTTTAGGGGTATGCACGTCCTCAATCGGTGAAGCACTGGCCGGCGGGCAGTGGCAAAGCGACAACGGCACCTGCCGTTTCGTTTTGCCGGGCGCGTCACTGGTGTTTACATATCGTTGGGGCGTGGGTAACGCTGCGGTCAAAACTGGCATAAGCTTCTGCCGAAACTGTAAGTCAACTCCCAACTCCCAACCATGCCGGCATAAGGAGTCTACCCGGACCCAAAGCTCGATGCACGTCCGCTCCCGATTGTGAAGCAAGTTCTTTGTGTCTGCTTCCCCGACCTGTTCAGGCAGGCATGCCAGAAACCAGAAACCCTACACCCAGGTATCAAGTGGTGGGAGATGGGAACCCAAGCAGTGCAAAACTATAGGGACCCTGAACCCCACGAACCTGAAAGGACTTGCCTTTCCTAGAGAAAGCGGGCCGAAGCGGCATGGAAGAGGAAGTAAGATGCATCCTTGAAGCCGGCACAATGCGCCTGCACTTTAGGGTTTAGGGTTTAGGGTTTAGGGTGTAGGGTTCAGGCTTTAGGGCTGCGACACTCACACTCGGACAAGCCTGACAAGGTGTAGGATTGAGCATGTAGGTTGTTTGCAGAGCTTGAAACCATGGTCTCTGACTCTGAAAAGTTGCGGCTCCCTAGCATCTGTTCCATACTTTTTTCTGGCTGATCTCTTTCTTATCACTCTTCCTTCATGTTGCAGCACCATTCAGGCTGCTTGAGCCCGATATTTGGATCTGCCCGAAGTTGTTCTTGCTCAGCCTACAACCCTCTCGTAGGGTTCAGGATATTCGTTTTGGGGTGTCTGCAAGCTTGATAAGCTCGACCCCACATGATGGAGGGAAGAGTGTTTGCCCTGCCTCCCTCCATGCACAAGCCAAGGCTTCTTACCATGCCCTAAACCCTACACGCTAAACCCTAAACCCTACACCCTACACCCTAAACCCGAAACCCTATAAAGCTTCCCAGAACCTCCACGTCTTAAACCCAAAGCTCTGAAAAGCTACACGGCGACATCGAAGATCGCTCAATGGAGCCTTGCAACCCAGAACCTTAAACCCGAAGCCCGATATCCCGTATCCTGGTTTGGGGTTTCGATGCTTTGGGGTTTAGTGTTTCCTAAAAGCGACATTATTTTTCCGACCCCAAATGTTGTTTTTCCGACCCCGGATTATTTGTTCGACCCCCCCATATTACCTTTCCGACCCCCTATGTTGCTTTCGGAGCCCCTGAGGTTTCTTCTTCGACCCCTGTATCACATATTGATAACCCCCTACTGGCTGTACTACTGTACGAGGACGACTACTAGTACTGCTACGACCACGACAACGACTACGACAACGACGACGACGGGGCTTTGAGGGTTCAGGCTGCAGCAGGCTTAGGGTTTTATCTCCCAAAACCTATCCGAAACTGTATCCGTCGAGAAAACCTATCCGTTTCCTAAACCCCAAACTCTATGTAAACCCTAAACCCGCCGAAGCTGGTATTCCGAATCCTAACTTCCGCAAGCTACGACACACTAAACTCACATATCCTGCATCTTTGATAGCTTGATTGTTTGAAGGGTTCCGAGGCCAATAAGGGGCCATTTATCAATGGAAAAATGTTTGGGGAAATACCTCTAGTCTAAGGGGAGACCACTACTGCTTATTCAGACCTCTATCGTCCCAAAACTTTGCTGGCCTTGCAGGCTTCTCTGCCGTCAGTCGTGCTCGGGACGTGGTTGAGGCAGTCGAGCCTATGGCTTCGCGGTTTAGGGCGTGGGAATTTCGGGCTCGCGGGTTTGGGGTTTACGGCGTAATCGTGCAAACCTACAGTTGACAGGAATGAACACGTCCTTACACATACAAACATCCTCGCTGTACGCGGTTCATCGTCGCTGCTTGAAGCTTTTGTTGCATGTTTTGCTGATGGCATGGGGCTAAGCCAAGAACCCAAGGTCAGGCTTCTTCAAGAGCCGACTTCTGCATCCTCTGAACGACTCCAGCGACCCTATGGCAGATAGAAGTGACAAGCACGAACGACCAATCCCATCCTACCTGCTGCGGACTGTCGGTGTGTCCGAGTGTAGCACACTGTGAGACTCTTAGAAAACTCTTGTAAAACCCCGCATGCAACCCCTAACAACATGATAAGCACTTGTCAAAACCTTGTGGAAACCCTTGTAGAACCCTCCCAGTAAAAAAGCTTGTAGGCTCCTCATGAAACCATTAAAAAAAAACCTAAAAACCCTAAGCCCTAAACCCTAAAAAGCCGTAAAATAAAATACCCCAAAGGGCACCCGCGAAGCCGCCCCCTCCCCCGATCCGAAGGCTGAGGCAGTGTGTAGCTGTAGCCGACATGGAAGCACTCCTGAGTTCGGTGGTGTTTAGGGTTTAGGGCTTTTGGGGTTTTATCGCTTTGGGTTTAAGGCGGCTTTTAGATTTTCGCACGGACTGAAGTGCCAGCCAGCGCCTATGCAAACCTCACCCCCTCTTACGGCAAGAGCGCGTTTTGCTACCGGACTCAAGTCTAGCCACCAGACCACGACCTGCAATCATCTTCCCTAAAGTCTAAGCCCGAAACCCTAAACCCTAAAACCCTTTTTAAACCCAGACTCTGCCAATAAGCTGGGAACCCCAAAACCCGAAGTTGCTACTTTATCTCTGGCTCTCTGAATCTCTCTCTCTGGGCCCTGAACCCGTTGTGGGCCTACGTATATCCCGCACCTCAAACGGGAAACCCTAAACCCTAAACTCTAAACCCCTAAACCCTAAACCCTGAACCCCTAAACCCTAAACCCCAAACCCCTAAACCCCTAGACCTTAAACCCTAAACCCTAAAACCCTAAACCCTGCACCCTATTAGGGCTTATCGGGTTTAAGGTTTACTCGAAAATGGGCTGCCGCGGCACCGGCTTCTTCGACCTTGGTCCGCAGCTTTTTGCTCCGGGTTTAGGCTGCAGGTTCTGCTGCCGCTTTGTCGGTTTCAAAGGGCTCTGTGCAGTTGGGGTTTCGGCTTAGGGTTTAGGGTTTAGGGCTTTAGGGCTTATAGTTTTTGGGTTTAGGGCTTTATGCTTATAGGCTTGTGGGGTTCTGGATTTATATAGGGTTGCTCTAGGGTTAGGGGCTCTTGGATTCGGACTCACCGTCCGATTGGGGTTTTGGATTTTGGGGTTTAGGACCAGCAACGCAGCAATTGCTACGTACAATTACTTGTAAACCCAATGCATAATGCTTGCAACCCCACGTGATAATTCCTCAAAACCTCTGGGTACATGCACTAGATAATTTAGGTTGCGACAAGTAAAACTGATTTGCTGCTTGTCTCAACTCACTAACGGCATACATCTTCGGAAGAGGGTTTTTCGAAAACCGTCGGTGTGAGTAGCAAGGGGTACTGTCCGAGCATTTGCGTTGCAGCTGTTGAATCTGCATCTACCTGAACAAGTTCAGGCAGCACCAGCAGGAATTCACTGATTCGGTGCAGATCATGTCATCAGCCCATGCCGAAAGTTGCTCCAAAGTATTTGTCCAATGAAGCTCAGCTCGCTGCCCCTGGTGAATAGACGGCAGGCTGGGCAGTGGCGCGGGTGCGGGTGCCTGGGTTGTTGGTGCTGGTGTCTCCGTGGTCGTAGTTGGAGCAGGCGTGGGTGCGTATGTCACTGCCACTGTCGTGGTTGGTGCTGGTGTGGTGGTCGGTGGAGGCGTCGGTGCCTGTGTGGTTGGTGCCTGTGTGGTCGGTGCAGGCGTGGGTGCCCATGTGGTTGGGGGCAGAGTGGGCACAGGTGTTGTGATGGGCGCTTGCGTCGTTGGCGGCTCCGTTGGTGGCATCGTGGGTGCCTCTGTGGTTGGTGGTTCTGTTGCGGCCTGTTGTGCCCCCTTCATCCAGCTTTCGGACTCCGCCACTTGGACACCCTGGCCAGCATGACGCGAGAACGAGTCAGCATACTCACAACCACCCACGCCTCGTAGAAAGGCTCGAAATGACCTTCCACCTCGTCATCCTGCATTGCGGAGACAGCAACCGAGGCAAATGGAATGTCTCTCCGCGCGGCCTGACATGCGCGACAACCACACAGCGCTGAAAACCGACAACCACTGCGACGATCACCGCGACTACTCTTACTGACGAAGGCCTGCACAAACAAAAAATGCCTCTAGCAGGTGACTTGCTCGCTCAAGCATAGTGGTATATGCAAAGCTACAAACGTCAAGTACGCGGACAAAATTCGAGAACATGCTCTAAAGGGACGCTTGCCCCCGACCCTTCCTCCCCAGCACACGCCAAGGCCCGCTGTGACATGCTTTCTGTTGTCTGCAGTTGGCACCTGCTTTAAGACTCGTTTGACAATAACACGGCAATCTGCGTCTTGGCTTCTTCAACCAAAGTTTCTCGTCAGCAACCTCTAACGGAAACCCAAACCGAACCGTGGAGGAGACCCCTAAACCCTCAAAGGACTCAAAGCAGCCTCTAACGGCAAACCTAAACCCTAAAACCTTATTTCTAAACCCTATCTCCGCCAGTCAAAGCCAGGCACCCCAGTCCTCGCAGACTCGAGGGCATCCCTCGATTCCATGCCTTCAATGGAACTACTTTGAACTACCGTTTCGAGGGGTTTAGAATCTACACAGAAGCAGGTTTTGGTAGGCTAAAGTAGATAATGATGCGGCTTCGCGTTGCTCCTACTCTGCTCGCTGAATTATCTTTGTCAGGCTCCCCGGCTATGGTACGGCACCCTTATAAACAGGACACGAAAAAAAGGACCCTAACTTGGAGAACTACCCGTGTATCGAAACCGAGGTACCCTGTGAACCCCAAGCAGAACACTAGGTGCCGAGTTGGCAATAACGCAACGCTTGGGAATCTGCATAATACCGGGGCCTTAATAATTAGACTAGGCTTTTGGGGCATGTTCGACTATAATTAAATAAGGAACACCCAAAACGGTATTGGTAATTATTTAGGCATCTATATTATCTGTGCCTTGCCTCGGCTCCAATGTAAGTGCCCGAACCAGCAAGCCAAGGTATGGCTGTTTCTATACTCTAGCACTCTTAGACGACATTGCGAGACGAACACGGACTAAGAGCGAACACGGATCAAGAGCCAGTTCGGGAAGTAACAGAAGCTCAAAGGATTCGGCATGCTATGTCCATGGCCAGTCCATGGCTGTCTCACACCTTGTTATTGATATCGTCTTGGTTTGAATATTCTCCGCTTGCCCAACGCAGGTAGCATTGCATCAGCATCAGAATCACCAGCATCATGTCATCATCAGCTTTATCATCAACAACGGCAGTAGTTTCAAACATAAACGAACATCGAGTGAGTATCAGCATCACCACCACGACCACCACCCTTACAGCAACAGCAAAAAGAGCAGCAACAAAAGCAACAGCTACAACAATCACATCATGATATTATTCCTCTTCATCTTTCAACTCCTCATCTTCAACATCATCACCGTCACCATCACCATGACCACCACCACCACCACCAGCAACAACAAAGTGATACTCACCATCACCAGCACCACCACCGTTCAAATCACCACTACTGTCATCACCTTGTTTATCCACGTCACACCACGGACATTGTATGCGTGATTCTGGTGATGGTTGCAGTCTTGGTGCTGGTGTCTTTGTCAATGTTGTGTCCTGATAACATGAGTGCCTGGACTGCTCCAGCAATACTGGTAAGTAAATATACAGTCGTGCCTGCTCATAAATTTTCGTGACTCAGCCCTCAGCCCCCGGCATGTACAGCGCTCTGGCAATCTGCTTGTCCGACGAGTGAGAGGACAACTCAGGATACCACTCCGGATGCTTCGCCTGGATATCTCACAAGGGATTACCAACCTTCCTGCAGTAGAGAGTTCAAGCTGTCGGCACTGCGGTTTAACCGAAATCATTCGGGTGTAGCAACACGTAACGATGTAATGGCTCATCTTGGCCCAAGAGCCCTAAAAAGCGCCTAGAGCCCGATATGAACCTGGCCATGGCATGACCTGCTTCCTGAAAACCCTTTTTGAAGAAACCCACAGTTGAGGGTTTAGGGTTTTGGCAAAAACCACGGCGAGGAGCCCCGTGATCGGTACGTATCGATTCTGCGTATCCATTCTTGCCAACCTGTAATGTCCTGCGCATGCCATGTCGTGAATGCAGTAGTGTTGTTGATAAAGAGAAGGACTAATATATGGGGGGGGTAAACTGCGTGCGGCGACAGCTCTCTCACTTACTTAAAAGATTGGTGTCAACAGCGTACGGAAAATAGTATTGGTAATTTTTTAAGCCCCTTAACCCTAAACCCTAAAACCCTATAGGCCCCTATTGACTTTCGATTTTCAACTCAGGTTGATCGATGCTTGTATCATTGTATTTAGATTCTCGCCCGTCTAGAAAGCTTTCAAGACCTCTTGGAATCTCTGACATCTATATCCCCTAAGCCCTTTCAGCACCGACTGAGGTGCCGGCCATCCCCTAAGCCCTAAACCCTAAACCCTACAATCACCTGCGTTTCGTTGTCAAGAGACTGAAGACCTGGCTGAAGCGCCCTCGTAACGCCAATGGGCTACGACGACACCGTCGAGACGTAGCCGGCGCGCAAGAGCGCAAAATTCTGGTCGCTGGGTTAGCAGTTTTGGATGATTGCAACCGACGACAACGAAAGCAGCAGCCGCAAAAAAGTCCACGACGACAACGACAAAGACTAAATCCTAAATCATGGACCCAAACCCTGAACGACGACGAAACCGACACGACAGCAGCAACAACAACAACAACAGCAGCAACAACAACAACAACAACAACAACAACAACCAACAACAACATCAACAACAACAACAACAACAACAACAACAACAACAACCACAACAAGAGAAACTACAACAAACAAGGAACAGAAACAAGAGTACAATGCTTGTCGTTCGCTTGCCAGTCCGACCTTT